TTTTTACCCCTCTTCCTCCTCTCGCTTCCCCTCCTCCCCCCTCTTCCCACCTACAACCCTTCTATTTTCAACACCCATCCCTCAGCTAATCATTTCCCCTCATCTCCCTCTATCCCCATCCCCATCCCCATCTCCCATCACCCCCTGCCTTCCTCTCTCGAATCCTCATTCCTCAACTATCTATTCTCCCTAGCCCCTCAGAACCTCAGCCCCGCATTTTCAACCCTCCTATATCTCATCTCTCATCTCTCACTCATCATACCCACCTACCTCCTCACTATCTTTCTATTCCTTTCCTTTCTAACCTTATTTATTAGAATTCACATCTTTTTTTCTTCTTCTTCTTCTTCTTCTTCTTCATAATCATCAAATCCTGACTTTGAATTTCCCATTCTCTGATTTCCCTATTCTCATATTCCTCTTTTATCCATTAAATAACAACAACAACAACAACAACAACAACAACAACAACAACAATAACAATAACAATAACAACAATAACAAAATCAACAACAAAATCAAAATCAAATCATCTCAAATCACCTCTCCACATTTCTTCTCCTTATTCCTCATTTCCCATCACCAATCCCCATCTTCCCTCCACACCCCCTCTCCCAGCTCATCGCAGCCCTCCTCTCAAATCTCTCACATCTCAAATTCCAACTCCCCATGCCGCTCCAGGTAATGTTCTAAAATCCTCTGTTCATCTTACTTATATAAATACGTCCCGAATATATCTCCTCACCACCCATCCAAGCTCTAATCCAGATAGATATCTTCACAAATACATATATACATACATACATATATACATACAAACATACAAACATACAAACATACAAACATACAAACATACAAACATACAAACATACAAACATACAAACATACAAACATACAAACATACAAACATACAAACATACAAACATACAAACATACAAACATACAAACACACCACTTCCATGAATCAACTCACTATATTTACAACATACCCCACACCTGAACCCTCTGCAAATAACGAACTTTTTCTTTTCACTGCTGTGATTCTAGAAGATAGTGATGTAGGGGGGGGGGGGGATTGCGTTTACTATATTACATGATTTAAGTTTGGGGTTGAATTGGAAATGCAGGTGGGTTTATATGAATTAAACTTGTATATAGAATTGACATTAAACCTGTATATAGAATTGACATTAAATCAATCACAAGTACATTTCCACAAGAGAGAAAACTTATACAGGATTCAAGATATTGGGGTTTAAGTTTAGGTGTGGAATAGAAGGAGAGCATAGGATGAGTGTGGGAATGGTAAGAAAGAGAAGGGATATTGTAAGAAGTGAAGATGAGAGGGAATTGATGTTAGCGGTGGATATGGAAGGTGATCTGATTGTTCGGCGTTTTGATGTTTGAGGGACATTTGGTTGGATTGTCTTTTGGTAGATGTGTGTGATACTTATCGCCCTTTTTGTTGTTGTAGAGAGAGGGAAGTGCAAAGGAGGAGAAGGAGGAGGAATATGGACAATTAAGGAGTGGTGAGGGGAAGAGAAGAGAAGAGAGTGGATCTGTGAAGTGATAACCAACGCTGTGATTTCATTTCTCATGATAAAAATGAAATATTGGGAAGCAATAAAGAAAAGCCTTCTGAATAAGAAACGTCATTGCAAATACTATATACTCATCTCCAAGAAGAATCCTGACTCCTAGTAGGTATCCGAAACAAGTATTTCATTCTTCCTAGTCAACGTAGGCATTGAGAGATGATAGATACAATTCTCTTTTGCCTGCTTTTCGCAGTTTATATTAGAGGGGAATAAAGACTAATATCATCTTTTCATTCTCTTGATACAATGGTATTTCGAAGCCAAAGGAAAGGAATGTATATCCTTTAGAGTAGAAAGATTAAGAGATATTGATATGCTTCCTACAACCCTTCGATGGAACCACGTGTGATATAGATGAATATCTTTTGAAAAAAATGAAATACTCGAACACTTTTCATTTCTTGATAAATTTAACCGCTGAAACTGAAGGAACCATAACTGAACTGTTGATGAAGCACGCTAGATATGTTTTCTGGGAAAGCATACGATATAGTAGAGGGGAAGGTGTGGAGAAGGTAGTGGAGGGAGTATGCAAATCATGCACCTCACAGAGTCGGTGACAATAGGATGAAAGGAGACGCTAAGATAAGTAAGAAGATCTATTCAGAAATCCTTACACTGGAGGATATCTTTTTTCAAAAGAAAATAAATAGGTATTGATTGGGGACTTGTGTGTTTTGTTTTTCTGGATGAAATTGAGGTTGGACCTTGGGTGGTGGAACTTTGATGAATGACGACATGAATTCTATGTACTTGTTGATAAGGAAATCAATACTCGAGTAGTTTTGATATCTTTTGGGGGGTAAGGGGAGGGTAGGATGGGGATGGGGATGGGGATGGGATATCTGAAAGCCTTTGGATTTTTTGGTAGATCAAGACGTGAATGATTTGAGTTCAAGAAAGATGATAAGGTTAATGTGCTCTCCCTCACCACCTGTCCAATAGTACAAGAGAAGAACATTTTATCCATGTTTCAATCTTGGATATAGATTAGTATTTGAAAATCCCTCAGGTGGTTTGAGCTTCACCGGCTTCAGTAGTTGAATTCGATTTTCGACGAGGGAAAAGTGGACGATGTTGATATGCCACTCTTGCTCGAGTCTTGTATCGAGCTCACGTGCTCAGTCTTGTATCGAGCCCACGTGCTCTGAGCCGAGTTGGAAAGGAAAATAACTGATGACATTGTCATTTCATTCTTTTTGGATAGGTAGAATTGGATCTTTGAAAGCTCTAAACATTGCATTGAATAAGGTATCGCAAGCTTGGTACTCATTACAGGAGAAGGATGGTTAATATTGCTCTTTGCTCTTTCTTTCGCCAAGTCGGATTTTGGATGTTGGGATTGGATGTTAGGATAGGATACCTACTAGGTAGGTAGGATAGATGAAAAAACGTGATTTGGATTGTGTCAAATCTCAGCTCCAGAGTAAAATCCACTTCTGTGCGTTGGACGGTATGAATCGCACATCATAGCAAAGGAATGTGGAGGATCGCAGCCTCTGAGTCGAATAAGGTGTTTCCTTGGGTACATAAATATTACCTAATGACACTCGTAATATGCATTGAGACTAGGTGATTTGGTTGGTGGTAGATAGTAGATAGTAGATAGTAGATTGTCCGTTGTTTGTACATACTGCCTGTGCAGGACGGTCTTGCATTGATGTTGCTAATCCAAGCACCAGTGAGTACGTAGGTAGGTGTAGCGATGACATGGTTTTGTATGGAAAAGATTGCAAGACATGGGATTGGGAGAAACGCTTGTATCCGAATGGTCTGGTGTGGAGGATATACCTCCGTAAAGTGTTTGAAGAGAGAACCGAGGGAGAGGGTTGTGAATTTTATTATTAGCTACAATGTACTCGGATTGATGTGTACAAGTAGGGAGATGGAATGATTGGGAGAGCAAAGGGAGAGCAAAGGGAGAGCAAAAGGAGTGAAGATCCCTAATTTGGTGTATATTATGTCGATTTATTGTTGTTGTTGCTGTTATTTGTTGTCGTTGATGTTATTTGACAATGAAGTTATTGATCCTAAATTATGTTGAATTTGGATGATCAGGTTGGGCTGTCTCTACGTAGGAGAAAAACGAGGCCGGGTTTGATCACTTTTAATACTTTCAATAAACCAAATTCTTTTCCTTAAATCTAAAACAAAATATAAACTTTGATAAGAATCAGTATAAATAAAAGATGAAAAGTAATTTGATATCTTGAGATTTATTAATTATATTGTAATTGATTTATAATTCAATTAATTCAAAGATTTTGTTAAAGATTTTATGTGGTCAAAATCGGCCTCTTTTTTCTCCTATGTAGAGGCTGTCAAGTGGTCATGTCAAGTTGGTTCTTAAAGCTTACCGTAGTGAGGGTGAAGTAAGACATAGCAAAAGCTTATTAATACGACGGATTGGGCTGTGATGACTAATACTACCACCCGTACTCAAGTTCACCATGCCTACTTGGTAGATGTGTACTAGACGGTACCGAATGATTGGATTCTCGTATCCTCTCTCCGTCCCTACACCTAAAAACGTCTAGAAGACCAAGACAACCGACGACAAGGTGACAAGGTGACAAGGTGACAAGGTTGTGATTCTAGAACTTATTCAGTCTTCCATCTTCCAACAATCATAACTCTCGTAAAAGGAAAGAGGAAAGAGGAAAGAGGAAAGTAAAAAGGCAAAACAAAAGGCAAAACAAAAGGCAAAATCGACAATATCAGCCTAAGGTTGGAATGAAGAAAGTCCTTCTCTTCTTCACACACACGACGCCATGATTCTTACCAATTGAATTCTCTCTTAAAATCCCCCCAGTCAGCGAGCCAGCCAGCCAGCCCAAAGGAAAATCCCCAAAAAAACAACAACAACAACAAGAGTTCTCTCTCTAAACTTTCAACGCCCGCCAGATCATCCATTCATTTTCCCAATCACCAAAATTTCTCAAAATCATCCAAGCTAAAGCATTGCATGCGCGCTTCCACCAATCATTCATTCAATTGAATTGGAGATCCAATCCCATCTTCCATAGAGCCAAGGTATCTGCCCCCGCTATCAGAACCTAGCTTGTCATTATAGGAAAAAGCGTGGAAGGGTCCAACTCCATTTTTCCCACTCCTCTTACCGTTCCGTGGCGATTACTGCGACTGTGGTCTCACGCTTGTAGCACTTCTATCCATTCACATACTGATATCCATTTCCCCTGCTTCCTACACAAATAACTCCTCCGTACCAGTCAACTACCTACCTGTTGCATTCAAACTTCTGCTGCTTTCCGACCCACACCTTCTGAAAGACCCTATTATACCAAAAGCGGATACAAGATCTCTTCCGGTAGGCAGTTCGACAATAATGTCAATCAAGTAAGTAAATAGTCGTCTCTTATGGTTTCTGTAGTGCAGTATTTCATTGCCGTCACTTTCTTCTTTCCTCTCTTCATTCTCAATTCTATCTTCTCTTTCTCTTTCTTGTCTGTTTTGCCTTCATTTCTCAATCATGTATGCTTTTCACCAAGAACAGCATCTTTATGCCTTGCATATGGCACAAGAAGAAATGCTAAAATCTACCCGTGAAAAAAGTTGGGTAATGACCTCTCACGAGGCTGGATTCGTCAAACTTCCCAATGAACGAATTCTTTATACTTCACCCCCTCGAACGAGTTTACAAATTTCTACGACGACTACACCTCCTGGCGCAGAGCCATATTCAGCCAAAAGTGATGCTGGGGTTGTTTATATCAGTAACCAACGAGTAGGTGCATCTATTCTGCTTTTCGCATGTTGGGGACTATTTACTGATTCCCATGAAGATAATTTATCTTCCAAGTACACCTACCCCCGAACTTCAATCATTTTCTTCGCCAATTCTCAACTTGCAAGATAGTTATGTTCGTGCGCCATTCTTCGGTGCCAATTACTGGACTGCTCTCTGCAAGCCGGTCTCGGGAGGTGGAATTCCTCCAGACTATCCATCGGTTGAGCTCAAGATGACATTCAGAGAAGGCGGGGCTTTCGATTTTCATTCTTGCTTGGAGCAAATAAAGGAGCGTCTATACCAAGTTTATAGTGTCGCACGCGAACATGGAGGAAGGGGAACGAGTGGAGTAGATTTGGCGAACATGGATTTAGAGCAATTACCTGCCTATGAAGCTGCGACAGAGGTTGCAGATGAGGCACCTGAGGTAGCTCGAGATAGCGGGGTAGCAAGCACAACTGGAAGTTCACGGCCCGAGACCTTCACCGCGCCAGCTGAGCCCCCTCCAGATTATGAAGAAGCACAAGCACAAGCCGTTTCGGTGGACCTGGATCAGCGATTACGAGAGCAGGCCGAGAGATAATGAGAGGGGGTAAGCGACATATATAGAATGCTGTGTTACATATATTTTGTTACATCGGGTATTACGAAGTCATGAATAAATGAATACTGGGAAGGTAGGACATCTATGGAGGGGGGAAAGGCGTTCTTCTATCACAAATTTGCACATACGATTTGGCACGGTCTATGATCAGAAATGGGGCTATAAAGCAGCACTGCAATGGCGTTTTGAGAGGTTGATGATAAATTGCTTCAAGATGGAATTGATGTCTAAAATAGTCTGAAATAGCTAGTATATCATGAGAAATGAATAAAAATTAAAAAATGATACCAATTAGCAATTGCGTTGTATGTTTTGTAACTTATTCATCGACCTGTGTACTTCACACAATTAATCAATCAATGATATGAGATTTTGCACTGATGATAAATTTCGAGTTGATGTCGGAAAAACCAGGAACCAAATTTCATCGACCAATCAAATCCGACCAATTGCAACTGAGGCCTCAATTTTGGCGAGGATCATTTCTCATCCAACACGCTGGATTTTGACCCGTATCAGATAGTATTCTACCACCAAGACCACAACACACTCAACGTTCTACAATTGGTTTGAATCCCCGAAATCGATTGTAAAGATGGGTTTCTTCGACAGCTGGAGCGATCTTGTATCGGCTGCTACACCATGGAATCAGGCAGAGGCTGAGGCCGTATCTGGAGGTTCGAGTACGGAGAAGACTCCTGCGCAAAAGGATGACGGTGGAGAGGGTGAGGTAAAGGTACGTTTGGTTTTGGCCTTGATTTTGTGTCTGCCGGAGAATTTGTTAGAGATTTGGATGTGGAGTTGGGAATGGGGCGGGAAAGAGGAAAAGGCAAATGGAAGGAGGGGGACAACATACTTTTTTGATGTGTGCGGGGGTTTCGGATTTTACTGGCTGGATGGGGAAGGCCTGGAAATCGTCATTTATACTTGGACTGGACATGTGCTGACTCAAAATTGTGTACAGGATCCATCCGGAGCCACTCCAGACAAGAGAGCAGCTAAGGACGCTGAAGAGGAAGAGTCAAAGGATGAGGAGCCTGAAGAGGAAGAGGAAGAGGAAGAAGAGGAAGAAGAAGAGATGGTTGATCCAAAAGATAAGATTGAAGAGGGTAGGTTTCTATATTTATATGTTGGTCTAGATTTTGGGTAGAGAAGGGAAATTTTAACAACTGCATTTCATGCGGAGAGCTTGGGATTTCCTGAAACTGCTTCAGGTCTACAGTCACTTTATTGTGGGAATAGAAGCTAATTTTCAACAGAATGTAAGGAATCCGCAGCTTGTGCTCCTTCTAAGCACCACTACGACGAGTGTGTTGAGCGAGTTACAAGTGGCAAGGAACAAACCCCAGGCGAGGACTGTGTTGAAGAGTGTATGTACCCTATACTCCCATCCATCCCTAGCTACTAACACACAAACTACAGTCTTCCATCTCGCACACTGCGCCACTGCCTGCGCTGCCCCTAAGCTCTGGAACACTCTCAAGTAAATCCAAGCTCGACTGCCTAGTACATCACGGAATTACGCACAAAACACGAATCAACTTTTTAGATGAACGGAGAGGGAAGAAGGGAAGAAGTTAGAGGATGGCGGAATTGTACAAATATGAAACCAAAATCCGTTCTTGAGCACTGCATTGCATATCAGATCAGATCTCCATTTTTCACCGGACGCATTGCATGTAGTATAGAAAAGGAATCGTTATAGAACTGACTTTGATTCTCTTTTGTGTTTTATCTTTGGATTCTGGAATTTGTGCTTGATTTTATACCTCCAAATCATGTTTGGATATGGAATTCTTATCATTTCGGATCTTTTTCTTGGGTGACAAAGTAATTTTACAATCACAAGCAAAACTCGTCGACAAAAATACCTGTACACATACTCAAATGCCTAGGTACTCTCTTCACCACTCTATCTCTCACGCGGGTTTTTTCTCAATTCGGGAAACAGATAGATATTCATACTTCGGGGCTGTGTATATATTCGGATAATGGATAATTGCATCCTGGTCTCGTCCCTGTTTTTGAATGTACCGTACCACGAGACCTTATCTTTTGGTCCATTCAGAGGGGGTGGAATGTTATGTGTACACTGTTTCTTACGTGCGAGCATGTGAGCTTGGATTGTATAGCCAATGATAATTGGATGTTACATGATGTATCAATATGGGTGATATGGATGTACACCATACACGAGTCGATTGCCTGGGTGAGGGAGGAGATGGAGGGGATGGAGGGTTGCATCCCCTCTTTGGCTATCTGGTTTGTGGGATAAGTAGATAGGGTTCCAGGTTTTCTAATCTTCTTTGACATGAAGGTTGTATACTGTTGCACGGCAAACTTAAACTTGTACTTGTTACTTCTTGTTCACGAAGTAGAATAGAAGAGGGAAATACTTCATTCATCGAGCTTATTGATCGGCATCCCCTCTGTCTTAAAGTCCTACTCGTGCACCTGATACATCTCCACACCAGCGGAAGTCAAACATTCGGAAGATTGACTTAGATAACCGAATTCTAGCGGGCCCCGCCAAGCTTATCGTAGCGCGTACGCTGGGTTGATTGGAAGGAAGAAGGATGGAGGTGTCGACACAATTGAATTCGAATGGATTGGAAAAAAGTGTAGATGAGAAGACGGAGAGGATTAGCAACAGCGATACGGATAGAGACGAGAAAGTCTACAGCGACGAGGAAAAAAGATCGGAAGATTGGATGTAAAGAAAATAGAGGAGATAGCGCGGATAGTATCGAGGAATATACAGGAGATCTGGAGAAGGGGAGAGAGAAAGAGAAAGATAGAGCGCCGGGAGAAAATAAAGAGGAGGATCTGGGAATTGGAGAAATTGGAACAATTGAGAAGGGGGAGAAGGAGAGGAATATCGAGAAGGAGACGCATCTTTACCACGGTATGCCGATAGGCTGGACGGCAATGAAAGATCTACGCGGAAAGCCGAAACAGAAGTCTAAATATAAGACGGGGGAGAGAACGAATGGGACGAGTACGCAGAGGGGTATGTCGAATACGGAGATAGCCAAAGGGCAGGAGAATGGGGGGGAGGGGAGAGGAGTTGAAGAAGAAGTTGAAGATATAGATGATTTGGATTTGACGGAATTGAATAGCGGGGATGATTTATTGCCGGATGAGGAGGAAGGGGGTGTAAGGAGGGGTGGAATTGGTGCGGATGGAGCTGCAGATGAGGGGCTGCGGAGAAGAAGTTCGGAGCGTCATGCTGTGGGTTCGAACGCGGGGAACTTTAGGGTGTATAAGAGGAGGTGGTTTGGATTGGTACAATTGGTTCTTTTGAACATTATTGTTAGTTGGGATGTAAGTGATGCTACAGAATTTGATATTGTTTCAACTACATTTTGACCAATTTCTGGGGAGATTCATGATTCTGTGTCTAGTATTGTGGTTGCAGATGTGCTAATGTGGATTCGTACAGTGGTTAACCTTCTCTGCGAGCTCGACGACGGTTTCGCAATATTACGATGTCTCCGAATCCGCGATCAATTGGCTCAGTACCGCTTTCCTCTTTGCATTCGTGCTGGCTAGTCCGTTTGTTATCTACGTGCTTCATCATGGAGGACCTAAACCTGCTATCATCATTTCATCCGTACTTTTGCTACTAGGGAATTGGATACGCTATGGGGCTACAAGATCGGGTCCGCATGGAAATTTTGGAGGAGTTATGTTTGGGCAGATCTTGACGGGAATCGCTCAACCATTTGTATTGGCAGCGCCGACGAGATATTCGGATTTGTGGTTTACGAATCAAGGGAGAGTGGCTGCGACGGCGGTGATGAGTTTGGCGAATCCTTTTGGAGGCGCGTTGGCGCAATTAATTGATCCATTTTGGGCGGGAAGTGTGGGGAGTATACCGAATATGGTGCTTTATATTGCTATTATTGTAAAGTTTGAGCAGTTACCTTTGCTTCTACGATGCTAATCATCATATAGTCCACCATAGCGACCATCCCATCCTTCTTCATCCCCAAAGGACCACCAACACCCTGTTCCGCATCCTCAGAAGAACCAAAACATGCCCTGGGCGCCTCCCTTCGCTTCCTCCTCCGCTCCCCTGAATTCTACATGATGATGTTCCCCTTCTGGTTCTACGTCGGCCTCTTCAACAGCATCTCCTCCCTCATCAACCAAATGCTCTCACCGTATTCCTTCTCCGAAACCGACGCCGGCATCGCGGGCGCCCTTCTCATCGTCGTCGGTCTCGTCGCTGCCGCCGTCACCTCCCCCCTCATCGACCGCACCAAATCCTATCTCCTCGCCATCAAAATCCAAATCCCCGTTCTGGGAATCTTCTACCTGGCTTTTACGTGGGCGCCCCAGACTCGCAGTCTCGCGGCCATCTATACCATTCTGTCGCTTCTGGGCGCGGCAAGTTTTAGCTTGGTGCCCGTGGCCCTGGAATATCTAATCGAGATCACGCATCCGGTTTCGCCCGAGGTGACGAGCACGATTGGTTGGTCGGGGGGGCAGTTGTTGGGGGGCATTTTGATTATTGTGAGTGATAGGTTGAGAGCGGGGGGTGTCTCGGATGGGTCCCAGGATGATGGGAGTGTGAGGCCGCCGGGGAATATGTATAATGCGTTGGTTTTGCAGGCGGTGGTTGGCGTTGGTGGTGGTGCCGTTTGCGTTGGCGCTGGGGTGGTTGTGGGAGGGGGAGGGGGGTGAGAATGAGGAGGGTAGAGGCGGATAAGGTGGCTAGTGGTAGGAGGAGAGGAGATACGGATGTGGATGTGGATGCAAATACGGGACAGAGGGTGGGGAAGGTGTACTCACGTAGGGGTTTAGTGTATATGCTGGTTCATATTGTACTTGGTTTTCGAGAGGGAATAGAGGGGCTGGGAATAATATTTGGATACCAGTTCCAGATCCCAGCTTTTGTGTTTGGGTCTCTGGATTGATGGAAACACATCTATCCTTGGATAGCAAAGCCGTAGATAGGAATCTATGTATTTGGATTTGGAAATCCCGAATACAGTGATCGAGATGAGAATTTCAAATTCACATTTCTTATATTCATATTCGGATTCATTTTGATTTCCATTTCCAACCCATGTTTCTGGAGAATGATAGTGTACATCTTGAAGTGTTAATATTAATATAAATCTATAATCCCCCTAATCCTATTCACAATAAAGATTCCTGAGATAATCTTACATAACACACACGTGTGTGTATGAAGAGATCTTCATTTTCAACTCCTTCATATTTATTGGATTTCTATCTCCGAGTCTGAGTCTGAGGGGGAGAGAGGTTATTGTATTTACATTTACATGTATGTATCTTACATGAATCTATTTTTATAAATCTCAAATCTCAAACCCCCAACCCAACCCAATCCAATCCATCAATCTCAAACCCCCAACCCCCAACCCAGCGCTCGAAAAAATCAAAAGTCAAACCCACTGCCCCCAAAAGACAGTGTACTTCGCATTGGAAAGGATAGATATCCATTCGCTTCTCCTTCTCCTTCTACTTCCGCATCTACTTCCGCATCTACTTACAACTCCGCAACTCCGCACTCCTTGGCATCAGAACAGTAGCACGCTGTAAACTCATGAAATCATAACGCCATACCTCCATCAAATCCATACCTGCATCCAGCAAGCGTGGAAACTCACAGGAGACTGACTCCTTAACGCATTACGAATGCTTGGGTATGGGATATCTACGGAGTGGAATGTATCTATGTCATATCTAACTATGTTGCTATGTTGCTATATCCATGAAGATGTTTGAATACCTAGCTAGTACTAGATAGGTAGGTAGGTTATGTAAGTGTTTGTTGGAGGGGAGGATGTATGATATATGATACGATGTGAGCGAGACAAAAACAGAAGGAGAAAAAAGAAGAAGAAGAAGAAGAAGAAGAAGAAGACGAAGAAGAAGAAGAAGGGTGTTTAGAATATGTGGAGAGTGTTTAAGGGGGGTTGAGAATAGGAGATTATGATGCAATGCAATGCAATGCAATCCATGTATGTGACTTTAGCAGCTCATCGCATGCATGTACGGGTATTGATCTGGTGCCCAAGCGATGTTGAAACTATCGATTGATAGAATCCCAAACTGTTGATAATGTTTTAAAAATACAAACGTAGAAAATTGGAAAGGTGTATGGGGAATGAGAGCAATCAGGAGATGACGACATTTGTAGCAAAAAATAAGAGATACTAAAGATATCCAAAAGCAAACAAAAACATATTTTTAACGGGTATCTAACTTGAATCTCTCGCAAATGAAGAAATAAGCTATATATGGAAATTTCCAACTCTCTTTTTTGTCATTTCTTGCTACCCATATGCTCCTTGTGCAACATGATCGACGAACATCTCGTCTTTGTACTCCTATAAATAAATTATTTTCCTTAGCAAAAGCTCCCATCAACCTCTCATTCGCCTAGCGCTTTGCTTCTTCTATTCCCTCCCTAAGCTTTAACCCTCTCTTGATATGCTTCCCAAGCCTTCCTCCTGTATCTCTCCGCCTCCCACTTTGGATCCCCAGCGCGAATAATACCTCTTCCAACAATGACAATATCACAACCTAACCCTACCAATTTCGATGGAGTATTGTACTGTTGCCCCTTTCCGTCACCTTCCAATTCTGCATCCTCATCATTCTCGGGCGGTAATTGACATCCTGGAGTCATACTAATAAAATCATCATCCGGATCCGTATTTAATGTTTCCTGAGAGATGAATCCCATGACATAATCTTTATGTTCCCTCGCACTCTCTACACATGCATTCGTATAATCCCTCGTCATGAAATTCCCTGCACTACTCATTTGTGCCAATATCAAAAGACCTCTTTCCAAAGGCGCCTCATCGATTCCCGGATATGATTCTTCCTCAATATCGAAATCGATGCGCGAGCGTGGCGAGTTGGCTGGTTCGAAATGTTGCGACACGGTGGTAATAGAAACGATACTAGCTTTTCGTCCAATATTCGCCTCGTCGTGTGCTTCTAATCCATGCGGACCATCTGTGACTTCATTGGAATTGCTATTCAGGTTTATAGGAGTGGTGATTTGATCTTCATCGCTTTCAATGCTTTCGGGTCGGGGGGTTCCAACCGATATATTCGTCTTGACTTCATAACGTTTGCGCTCTCTCCATCGTGCTGCTGCTTCGGCCAAAGAATCCACGCTGGCTTTCCCAGGTATCATGTTGACATTTGTGATATGCGACCACTCGATGATCTTGGCAGTGCCTTCGGTATATTGTAATTGCACGGTATTTCCAATGTCACCGAATTTTCGGTCTTCGAATATGAGGAATCCATGACGACGTGCGAGTCGGTTGAGGCGCGCTCCGGTGCCTGTTGTTGGGTTATAGTCCCAGTTGTTGATGAGATCATAATGGGTTTTCAAGACGACGATGGATGGACCGACGGAATCTGCCAATCGGAGAAGTTCGCCGGCAGTAGACACATCGGCACTGACACAGAGGTTTGATTGCTTGAGGGTCATGAGACGGAGGAGGTAGGCTGTTAAGGGGTGTCTGGTCTTCGAACCTCGATCCTCGAATGAGGTTTTCGCAATAGGATTGAGGGCGGCTGGAGACATAATGAAAGGATATTCTGTGAGATCTTTCTTTCTTGACTATTACTGCTTCATTCAATGATGGAAAACAGAAAGGAGAATAAAGAGAGAGAGGGTGGGAGAGAGAGAAGGGGGAATGGAATTTAAGTCGGTATTTTGTGGCCTGTACTTTTGTGTCGAAGTCTTAAAGATTTAAAATTAAATTTAGCGATAATTCATGTGCATCAAAAGTAAAGTACCTGAACATAGTACACAGGACCATTTAACCTGCTACTACCCAGTCAAAACGGTATTGACCCCTTGCCACAATGAATAAATAGATAGATAAACAAATAGTGATTTCTTAGTACTTGCATCCATCAACGAAAGGGGGAAAAAGGAAAAGACATCAGGTCAAAGGAAGTTAGTAGAAGAGAGTCTTCTCCTTCTTCCACCTCTTCCAAAGCCTGCCGGGCTGAAGTCATTGAATCATGAAGTGCATTACTAGATATTTACCTAGGTAGGGTTAGATGGTTATCTAGGTAGGATTAGATGGTTATCTAGGTAGGATTAGATATAGTATAGTATGATATATGGTATAGTGTCACACATAGATAGTAGTCTGTATAACAATCTGTATATGTATATCAATCAACCATCTTTGAAGGCATCTTGTTTTCTTGGTTCCTACTATAGTAATCTTAACTGAGTTTGGAACATCCAAAGAATGTTTAATTATACAGTTAATTGTGACAATTGTATACAGAATACCTAGGTAGGTATATTGTCTACCTCTAGACCGTGCTATACGTGTATCATAGATCCTCCAAACCCTTCAAACCCTTCATCTTCGTCCTACCTAGTCATACAATTATAGTTTAGTTCACATCTGTGTCATTCTTGTCTAGAATCCAAGAGCTACATAGATCTGAGACCTGTTAAACTTTGTGCTGACTATTTACCCGTTGTCAGTGCACAATCGAAAGGTTTTGTGAGAATAACTGGGGAAACTACTTTCGGAACCATAGGAATGGGTTCCTGTTGATGTTCCGTTTGGATAGTCTGACTTTGGGGGTTTCTTGGCTGAAATTTTCTGGTGTGATGGTATCATGGTAGGAGGGGAATTTCATTTGCAACTGACTTGGGTTCGGACCACAAGTACAAACAAAGGATGAAGTATTAGACATAGAGCGGCACTCGGAATATGTCTAAGCCGGAATAAGTTATCAAACACCATTGGAATATGACAATTTACTATACATCTATCTTACATCTATCTATCTTACTTACCTACTTGCAGATTATCATTTGCTGAATCCCTTGAATCCCTAGTCATTCAATCCCATTCTCATGTCTATCTACAGAAGTCATTTCTTGTCAAAGTCAAGCATATTCTCTATCCCTATCCCTTTTACTCTTCGGAAACCTCTCTCTCCTTCTCACTCTCACTCCCCTATCATCAAATTGTCAATCAGTGCACCAACAATGTCTACGTCCAATCAAGCATTAGTCCTCAAAAAGCAAATTGAACTTCTCCAAAAGAAATACACCGCATGTGATATTGCAGATGCTCTTGTCAAGCTCAAAGTGTCAGGTGCCGGTTTCCTTCCCGACCTCAAACCTGCTTTTACTTCAATATCTGAATCTTTCAACACAATTACTATTGCTCCTGTTTCAACTGTTATTTTTGCCGCAAAAAATAGCACAGATCTCTCCAATTACCCCACCGCAAACATTCCCACTGATAAGCATTGGGTCGATCTCACCGTGTCTGACTCGATCGTGATTATCAGTCAACCCGAGGGACAAAAGAATGCCGTGCTAGGTGGAATCATGGCGATGAGGGCTCAGGTTCTTGGCGCAAAAGGTGTGGTCGTTAGTGGAAGGGTCAGAGATCTTCAAGAGTTAGAGGCTACTGGAATACCTGTCAGTTTTTGAGCCATTTTTCTCCCATCTAAGCTTTAAGGGTCCTCGTGGAACCCCGCATGCTCCCCTTTACTCTTCGCCAAGATCACCTAATCGCAACTATCAAGTTGTCAAAGATGCTTCCCTCGATTTCCGAATTTTGCTAATGAATCCCGTAGGTATGGTCCCGTGGCACATCAATTGTTGGGGCTGGTGCTGAATCCAAGCCCCACGCTGTTCAAGTGGCGTTGAGAATTGACGGCACAGACATTCACCCTGGAGATTTGGCATTTTGCGATCCTGACAATGGCGTGGTCATCATTCCACAAGGAAAGATAGCCGATGTTGTCTCCATTCTGCCAGATCTTGTTGCAGCGGATGATCGTGTAAAAGAAGAAGTCATGAAAGGAATGTCGGCCCAAGAAGCATTCAAAAAGCATCGAGGATGATAGTCTGTTGAAGATGCATGCTTAAGTCACTGTGGTTGCTATGTTTTTATTATACGCTGTTATTTTTGGCTGCCATGATGCCATGCAAATAAAAATGAAACTTGGGCTGCATTCTTAGACAACCTCGCGGCTTTTGGTCTGGCTACTTTCACGATAGTACCTTAGAAGTATAGAACACATACGACGGCCTCATCTAAACATGGTATTTGAGGGGAATATAGCTCGCAGTAAACACTACAATCGTTTAAACACGTGTACTGAGTAAGCTCCTGCACAGAGTCGTCCCTGATCAAGCTGGTCATTTGCCCTCTTCCGTTTCAACCCTTCAATGTTCTCAGGTCTGTATCATACCATTGAACTCTAATAGTGGAAAGAGACAAGAATGTACCAAAGAGCTTTGCTCGATTAGTAGACCATCAAAAGTCTTGAGTGGGGGAAAACCTTCGCGAATTTAAAGACCTGGCTGGAGGAAAATAGCTGATGCACTTGGCTCGCTTCATCGGTAGACCGTTAGAACCCAGAGAGGTATACGAAGCAAGCAGACTACTCGAAGTACACCTGAATATTCATGAAGATTGGGAGCTCGGTAAATGAGGATTGAAGCCAATTACTATTCCTCCCGGTCAGTAGCGAACTGTCCATCACAGGTTTGCGCACATTTCCTACGGACTCATAATAATTTACCAGCATGAGGCACGGATAAGATGTACCGAAAACGCAGGGTACTGGCCACAGGCTCTCCTTCTCGAGTGTACCGAAGACGCATGCTTGCATGTTCCAGGCACTGAAACGGTACAAATCAAGGAAAAGGTAGAGAGCATCTGTTTCTTTCTTTCAAGACAATCTCAACTATTTACCATTTTCTCCCATTCATCGCGTTTCCCATCACCCAAAGCATTATAAGCATTCTCTCATATTTCTACTTTTTTCTTCTCTTGCCTTGTGCAACAGGCTGCAATCACTTTCACATTGCACACATTATGCACCTGAAATGCTTGTTACTGCCACTAGATGTTGGAAGACCGTCATGACTTCTGTTCTGTGAGCAGGATTCTCGCTTCTAGTATCTATACCGACAGTTGAAACGAGAGGGACCAGGAAGTAAAAGGGTTGAGAATGTACGAGTCAGACTGAGAAGCTTGGAGAAAGGTAAAGGGGTCCGGTTGATGAGGTTGTTGCAAATGTTGCAAATGTTGCAAGTGCAAGTGCAACACAAGATACTGTTCTTGGACACTTCCAGGTGGGCTTCATAATAAATGTTTCATCTTTAGAGATCATCCCCTGACAATTATCACCTCCTGCCAGTTACTATGTCTTACTGCCCCGAATCCGATCTCCATTTCTCCAGAGCCCTTTTAACAAAGCTTGCTGCCACTAGCAATATGCCCGTCTTTCACTTGCAAAAGTAAACTTCTGCAACAGGAGTATGCTGCAAGAAAAGCGTAAGGTATCTCTGGCTTTTGGACGTAGATGTCACAGGAGACATACCAGATAAAGGTTCCGTTCTTGCCGAACCATTCATAGCTGGTATTCTTCTTCCTGCCGTGAAGGAACCCGGTTCCGCTAGCTGGGATGAATAATTGTTAACGATACTAATCAGAACTTTCATGAATCTGCTCCGGGAGAAAATTCAGTTTGGCTTACCAATAGAAATATGGTGGTTACTGTCTTAGATTTACCATCGTTGGTGTATGCTCTTAAGTAACAAGACTTCTTGGGGCAATCTCTATATTGGGTTTTTGTTCATTATGCCTTCAAGTGAAGAGACTCTGGTCTGTGGACAATACAATGGGTTGAAGTTTTTCTATTCTTTAGCCATCCACACGAATACACATTTGCAGGAGATTTTGTGTGGGTTGTAGAAGGCAAATCGAGTTCAATTATCCGCAGTATCTGAATTCCTTCCTTCCTTCTCATCTCATCCATCTATGTCATTCCCCAGAGTCGGAGCATAGACACAGCAACATCTCGAATGCAAAACAACACACCGGACGTATAAAAACGAAGAAGGACCTGCTAGCAGAAGAGATATTAGCCCACAATCCCCAACCTTACAATCCGATATCCCAATCTCAGACAACCAATATAAGACAGAATAGAGCATCAAAGAGACAATACTCACAAATATCACCACTAGTAAAAAACCAATTTCCAAGCCTCCTGCTCCAAAACCGAGTCTGCTACGTCGGGATGTTCGATCTATTTTTGTAGTATGTTAGATTTCTCATCTCGTTTTTTCTCCTTCCCCTTCCCCTCTTCCCAAAATAAAAAATAAAATAAACACACCTTTAATTCACTCCGCACCCTCATCACCTCCGCTACCATCCCTCCAAATAATCTCTTCCCCTCTTCTATTTCTCTCTCCTTTTTTCTCTCTTCTTCTCTCGCTGCTTTCAGATCTTTCTTTGCTTTTTTGCGGAGGGCGTGGAAGAGGAATGGAGAGGGGGTTGTGGATTCTGCGTTGGGGGTTTGGGGGTTGGGGTTGGGGTTGTTTTTGGGGGTTTCTGGTTTGGTGGGTTGAATGGAGGTGTTTCTGGAGATGGGGTATTGGTGATGAGGAGCTAGGGATAAGAGGAGTTTGGGGGAGGGGGAAGATGGTTTGGAGGACATTGTTATGATTGAAAGGGAGGAGAAGGATGGGTTTGTTAGGATGGTCGAAGTGGTGGTAGTGGGTATTTGGAAAATTGTAGTTGGAATTCGGAGGATAGTCTGTGGTTATTTGGATTTGGTGTGGAGGATGAGGATATTCGGAATGTATGAATGTAGATGAGAACTCGACAATGGAGTTGTAATTAGATCAGTCGAGGTTTACAGGATGTCAGAAATTGATGAGGATTGGATATGCAAGAAGTCACTTTTACTTTTCTAATTCAGACTTCAGTTCAAACAAAGTAGTGTTCATGTTCATGATGCAAACGATATTGATTCTTGGGTATCTTGTGGCATTTCTCTATAATATCTAATATATGTAATTTATCCAGCCGCGAGAGCCAACCCCTCCATCCTCCTTCTTAAAGTCGAACTCTCTTCTTCATCTTCTACATCTACCTCTATCTCCATTTTCGGACGATTCTTATTCAATCCCTCTAGTAAAACACATGCCTTGCATATCTCTTGACTGGACATATATCCACATTTCTTACACGTTCCCAGTGTTTGTGTTGTGAGTTTTCGGCCATCCTTCTTGCCACCTTTTTGTGTTTGAGATTTATCTATTCTATCGTGACGTTGACCGTTGGTGGTATTTAATGCGATGGATGTTACATCGATTTCTCTTCCCGAAGCTTCTTCGTCTGCTTGAAGTTTCTTTTCCATATCCGCCATCTCCCCTCCACTGGATCGACCATTAGTTCCGCAACCTCCATTGCCTTCTTCCTCCTCATTGGTAGTTGCTAATGAGACTTTTTGACTCTTGCAGTGACTTATTCCGGTAACTTCTGCTGGTACTAACTTCGCCATGTCTTCTCCGCTGCGCACAACATCCAAGATGGCACTAGGTCGTACTCTCTCTAGATTCTTGATCAAACTTCGCGCGCTACCTCTGAAAGCCTCGGGACTGTATAGACATTCCGTCGTGAAATAATCCAACTTCTTGTGATGCGCATAGAGCACAATCTCCTTCTCATACGCATATTTCAGAGGCTTGCTTCTACGCACCTCGCTCGATTCATCACCGGTGACGATACTAGTACTCCTCGCCAGCCGGGGTAGATCTCCGCGCAGTAGATTCATCAAAATAGTTTCTGCGACATCATCTGCATTATGTCCCGTAACCACATGGTTGATGCCCAGCATTTTTGCCCCTCGATCTAAAGCCTGTCTGCGAAAGACACCACAGTATGTACAATTTCCCTTCTTGCCTATTGTTTCAACTACTTGATCCATGGTCCATCCATATAGTTCATCATATCCTACAATCTTAAGAGCCATATCGTATTGGACCGCATTGCGCTTGACAGTTTCGAGGGAGTCATCGCGATAGCCTTTTATTCCTTCGTCGATACTTAGTAGAACGAGTTCGAGTCCGTAATTATATCTTTCGTTTAGAGTTTTGAGAACCGAAGCCAGTACTGTTGAGTCTTTTCCTCCGGATGCTCCTATTGCGATTTTGTCGCCTGGTGAGAAAAGTGATGTAGAGGTAATTGTATGATGAATTTCTGCTTCAAATATACCGATAAAACATGCTTTACATAGTTTTTGATGATTCTTTGGTCGAATAATTAAAGCTCTTGCAGTCTTGCAAATGGCACAAGGTGTTGGTGCCATCGTTATTCGAAAATAGTTGTCGAAGGCAAACAATATCGCAGAACTTCTTATCCACAAATCATCGCGGGGAATTAATAAAAATGTCGATAGTGAAGTTTATCAAACGGACAAACTGCCCGCTTCTCACGTGAGCTAAAGTCCAGAATCGCTTAGCGTGCCAAGATTTTCAGAACTCTAGCGCGCACATTCAATAATTCTCAAAATCGAGAAAACCTTTTCCTGTTGATATTATTCCTCTCGACGACAACTACGAATCGACAACTTCTCGCCGCTTCGAAATCGATCAAAATGGTAAGCTATCAATGTTTTTGACTGTCTTTTTAATGAAATAATACGACTCGCCATCAGCTCTCGTACCTCTACGAGCAATCGCACGTCGAGATGCAATTTTCAATCAAATTACCTTTCAAGGTTTTTGATTTTGATTTGGCTTGAGCTATGTTCTGTGTAGAAATACCAGATGTAGTCTCTTTAGAGTTCAAAGAAGACACTTGGTGAACACTCGCTGATGTCTACTTTTCTCAATGACAGCCTCCAAGTCCGGAAAGAAGGCGGCGCCAGCCCCATTCCCCCAGTCCAAAGCTGGTGCGGGATCAAAGAAGGCAGCCAAGGTACGTGAATTCCATCCTCGTTTTGACGTCCATCCAAATACTAATGAGAATAAGAACCCTCTCATCGAGAAGCGTACCCGTAACTTCGGTATCGGTCAAGACATCCAGCCCAGAAGAAATCTTTCCCGTATGGTGAAGTGGCCCGAGTATGTCCGTCTTCAACGCCAAAAGAAGATCTTGAACATGAGATTGAAGGTCCCACCTGCGATTGCTCAATTCCAACACGTTCTCGACCGCAACACCGCCGCCCAAGCCCTCAAGCTCCTCAACAAGTACCGCCCAGAGACCAAGCCTGAGAAGAAGGAGCGTCTCTTGAAGGAGGCTACCGCCATCAAGGAGGGAAAGAAGAAGGAAGACGTTAGCAAGAAGCCATACGCCGTCAAGTACGGTCTTAACCACGTTGTTGGTTTGATCGAAGCCAAGAAGGCCTCTTTGGTCCTCATCCCTAACGATGTTGACCCAATTGAGTTGGTTATCTTCCTTCCAGCTTTGTGCAAGAAGATGGGTGTCCCATACGCCATCATCAAGGGTAAGGCCAGACTCGGCACGGTCGTTCACAAGAAGACCGCTGCTGTTCTCGCCCTTACTGAGGTTCGCTCCGAGGACAAGTCCGAGTTGTCGAAATTGGTTCAAGCCATCAAGGAGGGACATGATGAGACCGCTACCAGACACTGGGGAGGTGGAATCATGGGTGCCAAGGCTAACGCCCGCACTGAGAAGAAGCGCAAGGCCCTTGAGAGCGCTATCAAGATCTAAATATGATCATATAGTGACTTTTACTTCCGGCGTTTTTTTATGATATTATGGCATGGCAGGGACACTTAGCTAGGCAAGCAGCTTAAGAATTCAAAATATGAAGGCTGTATGATACCATAATTTATTTGACTTTTTGATTTTGTTCAAACAGTACGTGCGGGTGCCCTTTGCAAATCTTTGTGATCTCTTTTTCATTTCCTTGTGTTACATCGGAATCTCTTCCCTTTCCCCGTCCCCCAAGAAAGTCTAGTCAATTCTATCAAATTTTGATTCATCACACTTCAAATATCAATCCCACAACACAACTGGGATAACCCCATAATGGTTAGGTAATGATACATTACATTGAAATTATGCCCAACTTCCAGCCAAGTCTGTGTCTATGAAAAGAGAATTAGGAAAAAAGACGGAAGAATTTTTAGAATTTTCTTGGAAAGGGCTTGGGGAAACACAACCAAGAGTTGATAGCCACGGCAAAACATGGGAAACCAAGGTAAGCTCCGGCACTCGGACGGACTGTCGGGACAATCGGGATTTTGTAGGTGTGGAATGAATCTTGGTATACCTTCATGTATGAAATGGATGGATCATGGATCCGATGAATCATGGGTATGGAAATCGAGAAGTTCTCAGGGGAAGCTATTCAACAATGAAGATATCTGGTTTTGTATATAGAGGTCGAATCTGGACCTGAGTAATTGGTATCAATGGCATTGTCATGTCTCGGGAGTACGGCTTATACTGGGGTTTAATATATGGAATTTGAGGGATATAGATATGAGAGATATGAAGTTATATCGGAATGGAAGACGGAAGGGAGAGCGGAAGAGAAGATGGGGAAGAGAACGAGGGATGTAACGTGGCGACGAAGCCGACACGCAAAGGTTGAAGGGAAGCGGCGGGAAAGGCAGAGGAAGTAGGAAGTACGAAGTGGTAAGAGATGATACTTTGACACTGCCTGGTACACTTGGATGGATCCGATACGTCACAAGTGTTTGTTTGATACTCTGTGGCTTTTTCCCCATCCGGAGATCTTGGGGATGCTCAGACAGACATGGATTGTTTGTCTGTGGTGTTGTCTTTACATTAGAAGGATGATCGATTTGCTTATTTATTCATCTTTTTTCTTGAGAGTTTCACTACTTGGAAATCTTATTATTAAGTACTTATTGATGCAGAGATAATATCTATTAAGATATTATATTAAGATAAGGTTATATACATATCATAAATATATCATCTACAATATACCAACCGACCTAATCATTGCATATATATATATATCTATATACCAGTATATATACCATAGAAAAATAATCATCATCCAGCTTTCAAATTCCCACACCACATCACATCACATCACATCCATCACATCAAGTTCTCATCCCACGAATTGAATTGAGTAATTCCAATTGGCCAACTCTTATCGAAGAAAAATAGATTCTCTTATCGTATCAGTTCAAAAACCCTGGCTCCTTGGTTCCTTGGTATGTATGACTGGCTGGCTGGATCACTTGCTTGGTTCTCTTTCTCTTTCTTTGAATTCGAATCTTATTATATTTTATTAGTCTTCTCTCTAATTCCACTAGCTCCACCACCTTTCTAAGTTTGAACGTGCTGAAGTCTCCATTTCACTCAATTCGGCCCTCTCAACACTTTTGGAAGAAAACTAAATGTGCTAAGATCGGCCCCGTTCAAAACTTATTACTCATATATTCTGCTCTCCATCTTTCTATCTATCTCGTCGTAAAACCCTACGCAATACAATCGCAACGAGTTCCTACATACCTCCTATTCTGGATACCTACGATATTGAAATACGATACTTGACGATTACGAAGACTAGGAGATTTTCTATAAAGGCACCGGAGAGTCTTTGTGGATTTTAAGAAGAAGGAAGAATTTCAATTGATAGAAAGAAGTTTGAGAAATTGTTACAAGAATTATAATGGGCTCTGGTAATTATCTCCTCTTACAATTGTTCAATTCCCTCTTGTATACTCTCTTGTTATATCTGGGAGTGTATACAGAAAGAAGACGACCGAAAAATCATGACGCCCATACTAACAATCCCCCAGAAACTCCCTTCGATTATGCCTTGAGCTCCAACGCCGCATGGGCAGGCTATAAAAGCCATCAAAACCCCAAATTCTTCCCTACCATGGCCCAAGGCCAAACTCCCAGCATCCGTAAGTCCTCCCACCTACGCTTCCCAGACCCCGCTCTCTTTACCCCCCTCCCCGCGGTTAAACAACAGTCCTGACACCCCCCAGTCTGGCTCGGTTGCTCCGACTCCCGTGTGCCCGAAACCACCGTTCTCGGTCTCCAACCCGGTGATGTCTTCGTCCATCGTAATATCGCCAATATTGTCTCGCCTACCGATATCAATTCCTCGGCCGTCATCGAATATGCCGTTGCGCATCTGAAGGTATCGCATATTGTTGTGTGCGGGCACACTTGCTGCGGTGGTGCTGCTGCTGCGTTGGGAGGTGCAAGGGTAGGTGGGGTTTTGGATACTTGGCTTGCGCCGCTCAAGGCATTGAGTAAATTGCACGAGAAGGAATTAAAGGGGATCAAGGAAGATTCCGCAAGGGCGGTCCGTCTAGCGGAGTTGAATGTTGCGAAAGGAGTGGAGGTGCTTATGGGAAATGTGGTTGTGGAAGAGGCGGTCCGCGAGAGGGGATTGAAGGTTCATGGTGTTGTGTATGATATTGGCTGTGGAAAGATTCGGGATCTGGGAGTAGGAAATTGCAATGATGAGGAGGAGGAAGAAGAAGTTGCCGGGACAGATGGAGCCGCGGAGTCGAAAGGAGCAAAGGAGTTGGTCCAAGGTGCGCATGGAATGCTGGTTTTTGGAAAGGGGGGAGCAACGCTCAGTACCGCGTAATGGGGATGAAATGTACGGATATATGAATTTTGGATACGCACACATACATGTTATACTGTGTAGAATGAGAGGGAAGGGAAAGGAAGACGGGAATGGGAGTTTGAGGCAAGGCGGGGTTTTGTTTAAATCGAGCAAAGATGAAAGGAGAGCTGTTTGGGAATTAGATCGATTAGAAAGTCGAAAACAATGAATGTCATTTAATAAATTATCTATAAAAAATCATATTAATATGACATGGTCATCGCACATACCTAGGTTTATGTATTGGATAATTATCCCTGTACAAAATTGTGGAAGATGAATATAGGAACCTTGGAGGTACCATTAATGTCAGAGCAATGAAGTATCAGATCAGCATCTGCTTTTTTCTACCTTTTTCCTCGTCGGGTTTTGGAGTTATCGATTGTTGTTAGTATCGCAAAGTTTATTAGTGTTTTTCTCTTTCCCTTCTCTTTCCCTTCTCTTTCTCTTCTCTTTTGGGAACTCCATGAGATCAAATTGGATTATTGGATTGGATTGGATTGGAATAGAATAGAATAAACTATCTAGCCCTGAAGATAGGTAGGTAGTATTCTCATATCGAGTAGGACTGGTGGATGTGGGAAGTAGGAAGTCGAAAAGAGGAATACCATGCTATGCTATGCTATGCTATGCTCTGCTATGCCGTAGGTATATAGTAGATTCGTTGTATCGTCACATTATTGCATTATTATATTATTGCATTATAACATCAGCATACTCCTTCCTCTCATATCATTTCATATCACATTTCCCCTCCAAGCTTCAGAGTCTTCAGAGTTCCCAAAGTTGATATCCGTTACTACTTACCTCGATTCTCGAATCTCAAGCCTGAAGTTTGCATCAGGCCTCAAATATATTGTATTTGTATTCCATCGCATTGTATTGTATGGTGTTGTGTTGTATCTCTTGAGATTTTCATTGACTATACTGTGTAGGTAGCTATCGATGTACTAGGTAGGCAAGTAGGTAGATAAGTAGGTAGGTATGAATAAGCATTCATGAACTATGATAGATCAGGTGGTTGTAGTTGCGGTGGCAGCGAGATCTGTTGCAGTGAGAGTGTGTTGGCCGGTAGAAGATTAGGTATCTAGGTAGGTATCTAGATGTGGAAAGTTTGTGTGTGATTTTGGTTTGGTTGGTTGCTTGGTTTATAGATAGGTGATATATTGTATTATGATGTGTTGTGATGTGATGTGATATATGTATACCGATACATTAGATGCTTTTGATGCTTTAAATCAACCCATATTCTTCACTCCCCATCCCCACTCCTCCATATACAAACCACCAAAATCGAAATCAACAATCAGACATCTAGGAACCAAGAAGTTCCAACCTTTCGCTGAATAATATCGCCCCCTCCCCCTCCCCTCCCCCCCTTTCCAAGGTCGAAAACTTCAAGCACCACTATATTGTACATATTCCCAAGTATGATATTTTTATTAGCGGGGAAGTCTTTGATCTTGCTTGTAAAAAGGCTGTATTAAACCACTTGACTTCTTGATGCTGTAGAAGATATACATGCTTGGAAGACTGAAGGATGGAAGATAGTAGAAGTAAAGAATTGGATGTAGACACATTCGGCAAGGGAAAATGATGATTCCATCATTGGTGTCTTCCTATAAAAGAGTTTTTCATATAGCGTGCAAATATGATAAGTATATTGAATATGATATCCTCTTATTTCATATTGTTCTCCTCTTTCAAAGCCCATGTGGTATCTATCGTAACGCATTAACATGGTTTCTCGTCCCGAATCTATCCTTTTTTGTATCTCCAATATTTCCCTATTTCATATGCACCTCGTTATCTCAAAAGCCCTCTACAGAAACACCCACCCCCTTTTCCCTCGCTAATCTAACCAACTCCGCCCCAACCACCAAATCCATAAGACCCATCCCCACACTCTTATATATCACATTTCCATTCCTCAACCATCGACTCATTGAATCTTCCTTTTCTGTCTGCACCTCCTTTCCTAACATTCCTAATGTACCACTTGAATTAGTAGTATTTGTGCTTGTGGATCCTGTTCTGGGTTTGCGGAAGGAGAAAGAAGATTTACGAGAAAGGCTGCGAGAGGATGAGGGGGAGGTGGAGTGTTCGGAGTGAAATATGTTGGCCATGCTGCGAGCCAGAGGTGAAGAGGTGGGGGAGAGTGGTGAGCCTGGGGTCGGTGTTGCGTCACCGTTGCTGGTTCCGTCTATGTGTAAATTGTGGAGGTCGAGTGAGCTACGTGGAGATTCATCTGAATCATCAATGGCAGATGAACAGTTGAGAGGGTCGATTCCATGGCACAGCATGACCAATTCACCCAATTCAACCAAATGCTTCGCCGAAACATTGCCTTGAATAATTTCACCTGCTTCTTGTTTGCATCCGTCTATCGTATCAACTACGATTACCCCGCCTTCTTTGGCATGCCTGTGAAAATGATGGCCACTTCCATGAACTTTAACTGCTTGCGCCACGACTTCAAGAGGTATTTCGATCATATGAGGTTTATAACTGCCTATGGCGACAATGAGCCGTCCCTTCTTCCTACCTTCTGTATTTGTTAAAATAGAATGAGGGAATAAAGGCGAGGTAGATGGAGTTGTGCAAAATATGACATCCGAAGCTCGAATATATTCTTTCTCGAGACGAGCAAATTCTCCATAGGCAGGGCTAAGAACAGAGAGTTTTACATTGCTCCAACCTTCACGTTCCTTCGTAGCAGCAGGTACTTCGAGAAATGACTTCATTAGATTGCGCACCCGGTCCGTAAAAGCGCGAGATATGATATTTATTTGTTTTATAGTTGGGCCGCGGAGAATGAGAGCGAGACGGACGTGCCAAAACGCTTGCTTTCCAGCACCAAATACTGTTATAGTTTTGACCTTGGTACGGGGTTTAATGAGAAGAGAGGAAGCTAGAGCTGTGCGAAAAGCAGTGGTTTCTGATGCATTGAGAAAGCCGAATGGCAGCCCTGTTTTATCCATGAGTGTAAGAGAACCCTGAGGAGTGCTTGGATTTTTAGTCGATGAAGAGGTGGATATGGAGTCCGAGTCCGAAGATTCATTGGAAGAACCTGGCTGAGGAAGAGTAACAACTGTGATTGTTAGAACCTGGTGTTACAATATAACCAAGAAAGGGGGTTTACCTTTCATTCCAATGCCCGCAGATGCAGTAGAGGGCATGAATAGTGTTGTCCTTTTATGCTTTGACTCAAAAACTGTTCTTCTAGGTTGATGCAAGCTGCAGCAATCATCATCCTGAGTTCCTGTAGAATACTCATGAAGAGCTCTTCTCATTTGATCCTGAAACCCTTCGAGATCTTTTAGAGTGAGGTCTTGAAGAAGATGTTTGATATCCGAGTCTGTTAACACGGTGAGAGACATTTTGGAAGTTGTGTATGACCTAGTTCCACCGTTGAGTTTCTACCGTCTCGTGTACTTGGAGTTGTTGTAGTTTTCCTCGAGCATATACATGAATGAATCAACGAAAGAAGAGTTTGTTTAGAAGCCAAGACTTGAATTACTTAAGAGTCAAGCAAGTTGATTATAATGTATGTAAAGTACAAAGCAAGGGTTCATTCTCACGGAATTACGAAGGTGGGGTGGCTCGAGGGTGGGATGAGGATGCTTATCGGTGCTCTTTATCTTAGCTTGAGCGGCTTGGTCGGGTATAAAATCCGAGAAAATCAATATTGACCCCTTCATCAGAAGAATCAGCTCAGTGTCCCTTTTTGCTTGAATCGTATTTGGAGTCGGTACCAGACATATCTATCTACCATGTAGTAGTACACATAGGCTTTCTACAGCCATTCTTGAAGCTATTCGATTGAAAGCTTTACAATACTTTCAGGATAATGGACAAGGCAAAGAAGAAGGTGCTATGGAAATCACAGGCCCAGATTACATCACCGTATGGAATATCGGATCTGGAAAGCAGCAGCAGCTCAATTGTGGTTCAATGAGGGGTAGCTCCACATGAATTGACAAATAGATCTCACCTGCCTGCAGATAGCTAGATTTTAATTCATTGAGTCATTCCAAAAGTTAAGGAAATCTCATCTCTCTCCGTCTCACAATATCTTTCTTCCGGAACTTCATATTCGTGGTCAAAAACTTTCGCAGAACATCATAGTGGCACAACATGTCGGCCCCCAAAGAACTTAAGATGGAATACACAAGACTCGGTAACTCGGGATTAAAGATATCCAAGGTTATCTTTGGTGCCATGTCTTTTGGATCATCTGAATGGCAAGACTGGGTAGCTATTCCTCAATTTGATTTGTTACCAAGTACTTTGCTAACATAATAAGGTACTTAACGAGGACGAAGCTCTTCCATTATTGAAACACGCATACGATCTCGGGCTGAATACATGGGACACTGCAGATACTTACTCCAACGGAAGATCCGAGGAAATCATCGGAAAAGCATTAAAGCAATACTCAATTCCAAGAAGCAAGGTTGTTATTCTTAGTAAATGCTACTTCGGTGTTGCTGAAGATGGAACACAACCGCATATTTCGACGCTTCGTACAAATGATGGGGAGATGGTCAACCGGGTTGGCTTGAGCAGAAAGCATATTCTTGACGCTGTGGACAAGAGCGTTGCTCGATTAGGAACACATATCGATGTCCTGCAGATTCACAGACTCGATCGCGATACTCCCAGGGAAGAAATCATGAGAGCCTTGAATGATGTTGTGGAAAGTGGCAAAGTTCGGTATATTGGTGCAAGCAGTGTAAGTTGGATGATGCATCATAAGATAACAGTGGAGACTTACATATGGTAGATGGCTGCATGGGAATTCCAGACACTACAAAATATCGCAGAGAAGAAAGGCTGGCACAAATTTATCTCCATGCAAAATTATTACAACTTGCTTTACCGTGAAGAAGGTATGTTTCTCACTGAACCCTGTACGCTTTCAAGATACTTATACAGTTTGCAACTAGAACGAGAGATGATTCCATACTGCAGAGACGTTGGTGTTGGACTCATTCCGTGGAGCCCAATTGCCCGAGGAGCACTTGCTCGTCCTTTCAATGATCGAGGTACAAAACGTGAAAATAGCGATATGATGCTCAAGGCTTTGATCCGCAGCAAAGAGACTGAAATCGATAAAACTGTCATTAACCGTGTTGAGGAGATTGCAAAGAAAAATGGAGTTAGCATGGCAACTATAGCTATTGCTTGGTGTCTTAACAAGGACAGCGTCAATCCAATTATTGGCTTGAGTAGCAAAGAGAGAATTGAGCAGGCGGTAGAGGCAGTCAAGTTCGCCGGTTCTGGGAAATTGACTGCAGAGGATATTGCATATCTTGAGGAAGGCTACGCACCTAAGGTTGTACAAGGTTATTAAAATATATTGAATGGCATCCATGTGGCTTGCAAGGACAGGAATCACAACCGGGTCCAAGTACTTTACATTGTCATACCTTTCTATTGGTCCAACAAAGAATGCCATTCATGTCACAAACAGGCGATTCATGCTTTGTCGTTTATCTTTTCTAGATTGGATTTCTTTTCATTGTCCATTTGTATTTCATAAATGGATTCTCCGACTTGATGCATGTCAGATATCAGAAACGATGAAGGTTACAAAACCATCGCTGTCATGGTAAATCAGAATTTCTCAACTATTGATCACCGTCGGCCATCTTGCTCCCACACTACTAGGAATTATATTCTTACAGAGTAATGATCAACATGATTATTAATTTCTCGTAAGACGCCCTTTTCTTGTATACAATCCTTGTGTTTCACCACATCATATCAATGTGACTTGAAGTCCATACAAGGTTCTTACAGTCTCATAGTAAGCCTCCCTCGATTGCAATTCATCTGCTTTCAGTCCCAAACTCACGGGTCGGCTCGGGATTCCAGTCTGGGCAAGCTTTCCCCTGATTTCACTAGCTCTTGTTAGCCTCCTAGTGGGGCAAAAAGTGTCATCGTCAGAACTGATAAGAGAGGGGTCGGAAAGTATGACCAATACAGGACTCATCAAAGGAAGAAGCGTTGCTGTACAACCACATCTATCAAATTAATTGCATATACTGTATGCGACAACAACATTCAGCCAATATATCATACATTCACTTGCCAAGAGGTGAAATTCCACAGAACTGAATCATTCCGAGGCCTCCAATAAGCTGTTGAGAGTCCTCAGATGTGGATCAGCAGATAACCATCCCCCCACTTTATCTTGATTATCTTCTTCTTCTGTTTGATAGGATTCAGATCTTTCCCATACACTGCTTGAGTACAGTTACAAAGCTTTTGGTTGAGGTTCAAGACAAGAAGTACTTCTAAGAAACCCATCATCATGGTTGCCATTTCTACTCTGGGGCTTGCAGGTCTCTTGATTGGTCTCGTATGGAGATTCATCATCTATCCTGCATTTATCTCACCTTTGGCAAAGATTCCAAATGCACACTGGTCTTCTCCATTTTCTTCTACCTGGATTCTGTTTCAGCGATTTCGATGTCGGGAAAATAGGACAGTTCATGCGCTACACAGACAACTAGGTCCCTTAATTCGACTAGGTCCAAATGAGCTCTCTACTAATGATGTAGAGGGCATTCGAACTGTATATGGAGGTGGGTTTGAAAAGGGGAAGTGGTATTCTTTCTTTGATAACTTTGGGTAATTTATTTCCTTGCAAGATTTTTGCGAGAAATTCTCTAACCACGTGGTAGTATCCCATGTATGTTTTCAACGCTCCCCTCAAAGAATCATTCTTCTCGAAAGAGGATGATTTCGAATACCTACTCAAAGTCTACATTACTATCGTCACCTGCCTTGGCTGAACAAGCAAGAGTCATTCTCTATGAACGTCTTCTACCTACCGTCTCAAGCTTGGCCTCGTCTTCAAGTCCTCATGGAGTCGATGTTTACGATTTATTCAATGGCACTACTATGGACTTTGTCTCTTCATACCTATTTGGACTCAAGAATAGTGCCAACTTTATCAAAGATGTCTCATATAGAAGGCATTGGATGAGACTGTACCAGAAACGCCATCGTTATACTTTCTATTCACAAGAGCTTCCCCGCCTTACTCGATTCATCAATACTTATATCTATCGTATCGTTCCCACATTTGTCGATTCCGCCAATGAAGAATTAGAAGAATGGTGTCAACATCGGTGCGAAGCTACCGCCAAATTTCTCAAGGAGGGCGGAACATGGGATACGGAACCTGGCAATGAGCCGGTAGTGTACAATGCGATGGTATCTGGAATTGAAAAAGAAAGTAAAATGCGTGGTGCGGACTCCGTTCTCAAGGAGGAAACACTCAGGTTTCCAGATCGTAGTATATACAGTGAGATGATCGATCATCTTGCTGCTGGCCACGAAACCGCAGGCATAACGGTTACATATTTAGCATGGCACTTATCCATCGATCCCATGCTTCAGAAATCTTTAAGAGAGGAACTCCTGACTCTTTCACCCAGCATGCTTTTCTCGCCCACATCTGCATCATCCAAAACACCAACGATCCCCGATCGTAAAGAACTCGATACTCTTCCCATCCTTCACGCAGTCCTAATGGAAACTCTTCGTCTCCGCGCTGCTATTCCTGGTGGTCTTCCCCGAATGACTCCATATCCTAGTTGCGATATTGGCGCCTACAAGAATATTCCTGGTGGTGTTAGAATCGGTGCGCAAGCTCACAGTGTCCATCGAAACGAACAGATTTTCCCAGAGCCCGAGAGATTCGACTATATGCGATGGATGGAGGGAAATGGTATGACTGACGAGCAGAAACGTGAAAGGGATAGGACATTTTGGGCTTTTAGTAGTGGAGGAAGAATGTGTATTGGGAGCAATTTTGCTATGCTTGGTTAGTTTTTCTGGATATTTTACCTTCGTTTCTTGCCTCGTTCTGTATCTTTCCTTTTCGTGTCAATTACTTTTTTCCTCTTCGAGCAAAAGAATAAAAAGGACTAACCATCATACTAGAAATCAAATTAATAGTAGCAGCCATCTACACCAATTTCAGCACTTTGGTCATAAATGACGATGGCGTTGATCAGATGGATGGATACACCTGCGGACCATCTGCTGGTAAACTTCATCTTCAATTCGAGCACGCACCTGCTCCATCAGTCGTTGAGAATTGATATCTCAAGGACAAATATATACCCATACACGGATGGTGGATATAGATTTATTTCTAGGCGATGTATTTTGTTTATGCAGTTGAATCGCGGTGGTCTGCCATTTTTAAACCCCAGTTCTTTAAGATATCTTTTAACAATATTCATTCGATGATCTTAAATACATACTATGCATCACTGATCAGTTCTGATTATACATAATGAAGCGAGAGCGGTGAAACTCCTATTTACACACAAGATTACCAAACTTCACCACGTCACTTCTTTTCCCATCCAACGGTCCTCTAAGTTTGTCAATTCACAATCTCTATGTCTATATAACTCTCTATCTCCTCTCAAAAATCAAAATACACTCCTGACCTCTCGGTCTACTAGATATGATTTGATCTTCCATCTCCATATCTGCTTTGTATCCTTCTTCTATCTTCGTTCTATATTGCGCATAGATTCTCTGTATGAGATGACGCATTTCTGCTAGTGCTAGACTGTGTGGATATGAGTATTAGTTTTATAGTAACATATATCGCACATTATTTATATTTCCTCTCTGTCTAGATGGAAAGGAAAACTCGAAAAAGAAGAAAGAAAATAGTAGAAAGGAAGAAAAAGTAAACATACTCTTTCCCCGTACACGCTCTTCCACCCCTCCCAAAAGCCAAAAATCCCCTCTCCATCTCTCTCGCTCTGTCTTCATCCACAAGCCATCGTTCTGGACAGAACATGTCGGCGTCATCGCCGAATATTGCGGGATTCCGATGGAGACTCCATGCTTGGACACTTACGGTTGAGTTTGGGGGGATGAGATATTGATCGATGATTCTGGGCTTGGATGATGGTGTGAGACGGGGTTGGGACATGGGGATTGGGGGGTAGAGACGGAGGGTTTCGGTGATGATGGCGTTGAGGTAGGGGTTTTCGGGGGTTGAATTGTTCTGGGGATGGGAGGTGAGGGAGAGGTGGAGTTTTTCCTGGATAGGGAGGTTAGAGGGGAGGGAGAGGATGTGTAGGAGGTAAGTGAGGGAGGCGCCGGTGGTGTCGATACCGGCAGCTAGATGGTCTAGTATCTCGGCTGTGATTTGGGTTTCTGATAGGGAGGGAGAAGCGTGTTGCAGGGCGTGGAGAAGAGAGTGTGGTTCTTGGGTTGGGTGGAGGCACGAGGAGAGGATGTATGTATTTGTTAAAGGGGTGGAGCGTTGGGGAAAGAGGGAGAGGAAAAGGGTGGAGAGGGGTTGAAGGTAAAGGGTCAAAAGTTGGTCTGTGAGGGTGTGAGATTGGAAAGTCGAGAGACTATTTCGAGGGAATTATAGAGGGGAGTGTTCAGTAGAAGTGGAGGCAAAGAAACTTACTCTTGAGACTTGAGTGATACGTCATCTCTTCCATTATTTCCATGCCGGCCTTCTCTTCGATAGATTTGATTCCCGCTTTCCCGAGTAGAAAGTGGCTGGCACAATCTAATGCAAAACAATGCGCATATCTCTGTTATTTTATCAATGGTCATCTTTTACACTAGGACAGAGTTTACAGATTCATAGAGAAAATCAGAACTCACATAAACATCAATGGATCCATTCTCTGAGTCCTCAACCTTTCGAAGAAATGCTTGACTTCTTTCTTTAATTCCATCCATAATAGCAGGTTTGAGGATCTCGGAATTTCGGTATGGCTTTGCGATATTCTTCTTCTTTTCTTTGTGCTTCAAGTTGGTTGAAAGTCATTAGTATCGTTACTGTCATATTTCGCTCTTCTATCTTTCACTAGAAAGATTCTAGACTTGTGGTATCCAATGTGATGAAAGTTCCACCCCAAATTTCCATGGCATTCAAAACGCAAATATTCCAACAGGGGCAAGGAAAAAGAAAAACACACCTCCACCCTTCTTTCTGTAGAAAAAGTAGTTCTAACACCCAATTGTCTGAAAAGTCCATAAAATCCCGTTTTATCCAACTCTCCTCCCTCATTTCCATAGACTCCTTTCACCCCTTCGCTCCCGCAAAAAGCAAACTCTCTTACACCTATTCGAATGCTATCTCCATATCTCTTGTGGAGATTATGGATGTATGTTCGTCGATTACCATTCCATTCATGGTATTTTAGGACTAAGTTTGTGAAATGTGTGTACCATGGGCCTGGGGGAAGGTTTGAGTTTTGAATGTTGAGAAGGATGGGGAGAGTGGAGAAGAGAATGATGCTTAGGTAGATGAGGGGAGCATAGATGATAATGAGGGCTTGGATGTTTGGTAGGTTTAAAGAGGAGAGTAGACTGGGAAATATATTGGAGCTCATAATGGTAACTCGTGGGTTCTGAGCTTCGAATTGTCCAGTGTGAGGTATTCTTGAGAAGGGCATCAAAGGATTCACCGATAGAGCAGAATTCAGAATTATGAATTGAAGATTTTACCTCAAACAATGAGTAATCGAAAAGGAGCAGATGTAAACATTATAACCAGAACATCGGATTCGTAAAGAGGAAGTCTGTTTGTTATTTCCCTTATCGAAGTGGGGAAGGAAAGGTCACGAATAGGTGGGGTCACCGGGCGCACTGATAAACGAACATCATTCCTAAAGTTCAAGTACTCAGGATTATTGAATGAATCTGATTCTCATTCAAACTGACTCTACATAATTGGATATGTCCTAGAACTTGAGCTGGTAGTACTTATCTGATATTTAGAAAGTATCTGGCTATCAACTATTTAGTGATGCTCTTGGTGCAACGCTTTTGAGCTTTTATAGTTGTGAAATCAACGAGAGCTACCAATATCTGTTCTGCTAGTAAAAGTTGGTAAAGGAACTTCGTCTTATACAGTTGTCTTCCTGACTGTATGTCCAAAAAAGAAAGTTCGGTGTCAAGACTTTGTATACTATCGAGACCGAGGAGGAGGTATTTCCACTACCGTGATTCATGGTCAACATTAGCTGCGTAGGTCGCGAAAACTGTTTAGAACGGCAGTTATGCGTGCTGAATACGGACATTCACGATCTGTACCCCCAACTCACATCATATTGTTAGTGCAAATATTACTCTGGGAGTGCGGGTGCAGCTCCATTGGTTGTTGGAGGAGGGACTCTTCCAGACATTCCACCAGTCGAGAGGCGCGGAAAGTACATTACATCATTCAAAAAGTCCTATGAGAACACCTAATACATATCGCGAATATTCATTAATGTTTGCACCCAGTTCATGCCGTACAATTATGTTTTAGATAGTTTCCTACCTTGAGTTCATCTAATTTTCAGAGTGCTCGACACTCATAAGCTGAACATTGAGTGGGAATTTATCCCAAGTCCAAAAGATCTTCTGGTCAGTCCAATTCTGCAACGTCTCCCCGCTAGGGACTTGGATATGAAAGTTCCAAATAAGTCGCGAAAGAATAAGCCGCATCTCCATCCAAGCGAGTGGCTGACCGATACAATTGTGTGCCCCGAGCGAGAACGGATGAAATACGTTTTCGGAATCAGCTTGCTTGTTCATAAAGGTCCGATTTCCAGAATTGTCCAACCATCTCTCGGGCATAAATTCATCTGGTGACGCAAAATTGCTTGATGAATGGAAAAGAGACCAGCATGCCACCGAAACAGTTGTGCCTCCGGGAACAAAATGACCTACGATTGTAGCACCTCCACTCGGTGCTTCGCGCCTCAGACTATCAGGAAGTGGGGGAGACATTCGTAGCGACTCGTTGAGCACAGCCATAAGATACGGCAGCGAAATTGTGGACTCGTTGGTAATTTGCTCTTCCGTGCTAAAGTTTGTGCGTATTTCCCTTTCCAAGGTCTCTGGACAGTTGGGATTCTCAAGTAAAAAGTGTATTGCGGCGGTTAAAGTAGTCGTTAGAGTCTCGCTGCCTGCAACAATCAAGGCCATGGAGTTCATCTCTATTTCCCCCGTTGAAAGGGGTATCTCGGTCGAAGACTTGTTGTGATCGATAACATGAGACATAATATCAGGTTGGTTGACGTCATGACGAAGTCGGTCTTGGACCCTAAGATGACCTGTCTCAAGGGCTTGACGTAGATCTTCGAGAGCTGAAGCTGGGGTGATTTTCATGAGAAATGCTTCAAGCAATGGATAGTATTTGATAGAGTTTGCAATAAGAACGGCTTTGAAATGAAGAACTACTTTAATCCACGGATGATATGAGCTCTCTTGAATGCATTTGAAAGACGAACCCCATCCCAGATCTCCGATGATGTAAAATGTTGTAAAGTTCAACCATTGCACTAAATCAACAGTACCATTATCTGTACGCTGCCCAGCGATAGCTTCATTCAATCGAAGAATCAATAGATCTATGTATTTTTTAACAGTTGGTTCATGACTTTGTGGCTCTGTCTGAGAATGCTTGCTGAAAAGCTTTGCGAAATCGAGCATGGTCGATGGCGTTAGCAGTAATGAAATTGTGTACCTCAACGCCAGGTGGTCTAGAGCCCCATTCTTTTGGGCGGATAAACTGCTTCTGCAGATAAATATCTTTCTATGCTTGAGGGTCTGTGACCGAAAGCTCGTCTGGAGCAACTCGTAAAACAGTACCATATTCATCGTGCAATTTCTTGATGTGATAGGGAAGTTTCCCAGAAAGCATAGTGTAGATAAATGGAACTCGCGATACAACCCATGTAGGACTTCCACGGAACTTTGATAGGGGGTGGAAAAAGGCGTTGTAAACCAAAACAGTGGCAATATACTAGCAAGAAAATCAGTCGACATTCTTGTTTGGAAACCAGATGACAAAATTGTCAATCTTACGCTTAAAACCGATATCAAAAATGCATTGCACAGACTTCTGTAAGGTAAATTCTCCATTTTAATACATAAAACCAAAAACAGGGAAAGAGTGAGAACGAAGAAATGCTTGGTAGAGGAAATGATGGGCCTTCTCTGGATAGTAAGCGTATGAGATATGATCAAGCAAGCGAAGTGCTTCGTGGCACTCGACACACTGCACCTCATACGTGCTTTAATACTTTTCCAACGGCATGCCGCAACGACGTGGAATCATGACTATCGAGAGTGTAGGGAAGTAACCGTTATCCCGCCTGGGCTTTGCTTATGTCGTTGCTAATATGTGGAGTCTGCTTATGCTGGCCCCGCCGCCTATGTATTTTTGGCCGTGTACTAACATTCTAGATCAATCTCATCAATATCTACGTTGTCAATGTCGTGCCTGCGTGCCTACCATACATTTCGGAGCCTCGGAGGGCTACTTCCGTGTCATTGAGTTTACCAAGGTGTAGATTAGTAATCTCACATGGATATGCCAACGACATCAATACATTGATGTTTCAAAGACAGATAGGTAGCTTGTGATTCTAATAAGGATTGATGTTTTCTTCTCTCTTTTGATTTCAACTAGTCATTGTAAGATCTTACATTTGTAACATCAATGGTCCAGAATGAGAAGGTGGCTATCCTGATGGAGATATGTTGTGATATTTACCCATTCCTTACTAGGTTGTATTATGCCAACAGCTACCAACAGCCACCAACTATCACCAATAGCCCATGTGCGAATCCTCGCCTGAAATACATCTTTATATCATTTCTACATCCGCTCCAATCTTGTTTCCTTTTCCGATTAATATGGGGTAAGATATTCATGGTCCAAATTCGACTTTATAGATAAATCTTGAAAGTACCCCCACCTACCGATACCGTTGGTATTACTCTTGTAACAACTTGTGAACTGAAGATCTGCACAGAGGGCATCTTTACAGATCTCACTCAATTTTATACTAAGCATGTCGTCAGATTCTTGCTTATGGTCAAGGGTACCTACCCAAGTGGGTAGTGAAGCTCCAGACTATGGTCTAATTTGATGATGAGGATACAATGAGTTATGCAAGGTGTTGCTAGGCAATACAAAAGTACAGGAGTCTAGATGCTTGAAGGGCAATTTTCCAATTGTCTGAGAAGGTCGGATGTGCTTATTCGTATTCATCCCCACTAATGATATCCTTGCAATTGACATTTATCAACTATCTGAAAAGCATTCGTACTTTCAGTCCGCTCAATCTGCTAGAATTCATTCCAAAGCATTCTGCATAGCTTTCTCATCTTTCACTCTCAGGAAAGTTTCAGCTCAGAAAGGTCTGGTCCTTCGACAATATTCCCCAATTGTTGGATCATGGTTTCTACCATCTTACTTTCTACGGCTGTGGTCGTAAGTGCTTTTGTATTTTCCCAATATCGAAGTCTACAGCGACGAATCGAGGAAGCCAAAAAATCGGAGTTTAAATATGCAATTTCTCCGTAAGTCCTTCCCTACGATGTAACAAGATTTGCTTGCTGAAGAACATTATGTAGAGTATACTTCCAATCGATACCATGGATCATCCTCCAGAATATCTTTATACCATTCCTTTCCAGACTTCCCAGCAAATGGACTCAGTCATGGCTTCCGCTTTCAAAATGGGGCGAGACCTGGCATGAAGGCTATGAGCCCTTCAAGAGAATGAATGATGATTCGATAATGATAGTTTCCGCAGGGGGTAATATACTCTGGACATGCGATCCCGAAGTTATCATGCAGGTGTCTACCCGACGCAACGACTTTGTTAAACCAACTGAAATGCTTGATATGCTCAATATTTATGGGCCTACCATCACCGCTGCTGAGGGGGAAGAGCACCGCATTTTCAAAAAAGTGGCTTCGCCATCCTTCAATGACAAAAACTTTCAGGCGGTTTGGACAGGTGCTATTGAGCAAACTGAGATGATGACGCAAAAGTGGCTCGATGATAGCTCTGTTTCTGACCTCAACAGCGATGCCGCAAAGCTCGCTTTGCATGTCATCAGCAAGGTGTTCTTTGGAAAGACCATCACGTGGACGGAGAATGATACGAAACCCAGTCCAGGGCACACTTTGACTTATGAACGTGCAATAAGTACCGTTTTCGAGTACAACAGTACTATATTTCTAACCCCTCGACCAATTCTTAGTAAGTCAATTCAGCACCTCTACTTTCCGTGCATACTAAGTTGTAAAAGACTATTCCCCTTTGAAAATCCACAAAACCGCAAAGGAAGCATTCGTAGAATGGAGAAAATACATGGAAGAGATGCGAGACAGCACCGCCAAAGATCTCCAAACTCACGATATGAAAGAAGAAGGGACTCTCCTCGAATACTTTGTGAAAGCCGGTACGCCCGGACTCAGCAGTGCTGACTTGTCGATCCCCGAGGCTGCGATCCTCGGCAACATTTTCATCTTCATTCTCGCAGGCCACGAAACGAGCGCAAATATCTTCACATACGCTGTGATTCTTTTAGCATGTAGGCCTGATTTTCAATCATCTCTACAAGCCGAAATCAGTACTATTATCGGTGACCGTCAACCAAGTCAGTGGTCCTATAAAGCGGACTTCTCTAAACTCATAAACGGCCACGTCGGTGCGCTAATGAAAGAAACACTTCGACTCTACACCGTCCTTCCCTTTCTACCCAAAATCAACAAAACCAACGAGCAATCATTGAGAATAGGTAACCAGACACACATCTTACCCCGCGACACACTCGTCATGATCAACACAAGCGCCACACATCGCAATCCCAAATACTGGTCCGAGATCCCCAAAACACATGCGGATACGCCATCATATCCCTCATCCGATTTTCACCCGGAGCGCTGGCTGCGGTCCTCGGAGTCAAAAGTATACAGCCCACCTGAAGGAGCGTATATTCCATTTGCAGAGGGCCATCGTTCTTGTCCCGGACAACGATTTGCACAGGCCGAATTTTGCGCGGCTATTACTCGGTTGTTGAGCGAGTTTAGTGTAGAACTGATTTGCGAACCAGGAAAGGATTATGTGAGCACTGTTCAGAAAGTAGAAAAGCAATTGGCACATAACACTGTATTTGATATGGGTTTGAAAATGAAACACCCGGTGCCGTTAAAGATTGTTAGGAGAAAAGCATAATTTCCGAGCCTGTCTTTACATTTAGTTTCTTAGGGAAGTTTGTAAGATGATCTCGGGCTGGATGGCTTGTCTACAGATGCTTGTAGACTAGACTTGTAGTATTTACATCGATATAGGAGATGAACATTCAAATAGATGATTGCGGATTTGGCATGACCTCTGATTGAATCATATACTGCGCTCGTACAAGAAACTTAACTGCCAATCACTATCAACGCAGTTCCAGTACCTGGAGATAATATTGATCAGTTCATCCTCACTCAACTTCCACCTCCACAAGCCCCTCTGAAACTCCATCCAACGCCGGATATAACCCCAAAACTCTCAACCCCGCTCGCGAAAGCACATCTACAAAACAATCTCGCGTTCTCTCCGTTGCTCCCAAAAGCGTCATCATGTTAAAATCCTGCGTGACTGCCCACACTGACGCTCCCGATCTCGGAACAATCTGTTCATGTATAAAGAGCTTAGAGTAACCCGGCTTCATAGCTTTGCGCAGTTGAGTAAGAATAACCACACATTTGTCGTCGGGAAAATCATGAAGAACCTGACGGATATAATATGCTCGAGCTCCTATTTTACAAACTCTCAGTAGATATCGACATAAAACCCGATTTCTCTGCACGATTCGGAGTTGGGATTGATAAATCTACCTTTAACAGGCTGTTCCTCAAATATTTCATGAACCAAATACTCGATTCCCTCATTCCTACCCGCACCACTAACAATATGAAGCAAATCCTGCACCACAAACCGGCCCTCCAGCTCCGGAAACGCAGCTCTCAGCGCGACAGTCTTTTGACCATACCCACCTCCCATCTCCACCCACAAAGCCGAGATCGAACTATCGCCCTCCGCCAGAAATCGAGCTATCGGGAAAAGACCCTGCACCAATGAGGTTCCTTCCGCCCAGGTACTCATCAGCGTTGCGAATGCCTGCGCAGTATCGGGTTTCTCTCCAAGAATCCCAGATAAATCTTTATTTGGATGATGAAAAGCAGTCTGCACCGCAGTATTCTGTGGATTCGTCGGGTTCTTATACTTTGTATCCGCCAGGAATCCAGGTAAGGCCAAGTACGCTGGACCCAGAAAATCGGCACTGCGAAACCTGGAATTGGCTCTCCCGTCTAGTAGGGGTGGGTAGTGCTCAGAATCACCAAGTCACGACTCCCTTTGTGAAGGTCGACTCTGCAAATAATGTATATGAAGACGAAAGCGTGTAGTATTTATTTTCCATTCTATTTAATTGCGCCAAAAGCAGCTAAACTGCGGAGTAGACGTGCTTTTAAATTTCCATATTAGTTTAAAATACAAGTACAACCATCACAGGGAATCATACCAAGCAAAACACCATCTGCTTCGGTAGCCTGTGCTAACTGCTCCAATGTTTTTTCTCAGGTGGATGGTAGATGGAATAGATCCAAATCCCATGCGATACGAATGCAAACACTTTCTACAGGCTTCACATACCATAAATATCAGTAAAGATTTCAAAAACAATACTAGAGTGTTTCACGAGATAGATATACCTGAAAAAGCAACACTCTCGCAAGAGCATCAGCCGGTGTCTCTAGAGCAAGCGATAAATCTCGAGCTGCAAGTCGTAATTTTGTTTTCAGGACATGGTTTTCTAGGAGTGAAGCGGGCGGGTTAGATGTGAGGGTTTCGAGTGCGGAAAGGAGGCTTTCAGGGAATAGAGAAGTCATCATGCGTGGAAATCACGTTGAACATTTGAAAATGGTAGGATGAAGAAAGTAGTAGAATAGGTATGAAATAATCAGAATTTATATGCGAGTCAATGGAAATAGATATAGTGCAGCATAAGCCAACACACTGTTGGAACACAGTCCAAACCAATGGTAAGATTGCATTCCTATGCATTTCGCCCTTTTGGAGGGACAGTACTATGTTAAAAGAAGGCACATACATGATCAGCCATGAATAAACATGTTCCACGGAAACTTCATCCGAGAAATAGCAAGAGGAATGAAAGTAAGCAAGACATCACACTACTAATGTATCCAAGCTAATGCCAAAAATTCACGAATCAATTGTTTTGATTACCGACTCCCGAGACGTACCGTGAAGAACAAATGATATGTATGATTAAGGCAGATACATGGCGACACAAAAATAGCAATAACAATCTAACTTTTTATTCCTGTATATATGTACGTATTAACTGGCTGATAAAAGGCTCAAGGCGCAATGCAACATAAAGGCAAAGAAAGAACGACTATAAACAACAAATAACAGGACTAAAAACCCTACCAATTCACTTACAAGATAATCCATAATAAATTCCTTTCCCCCTTCAAATATACTACCCCCTCTATTTCCTTTCCGACAAGCCCCGTTCAACCTCTCCATTCCCACCTTTCCTCTACCCTATTCACCCCAACTTACCTCCTGACCCCACTCACCCTTTTCCACCTGCTCTCCACCCCCCAAGACCTCCTCCACCTCCCCATCCAAACACTCACATAACCCCCTCCCACACCCTTCCTCAACCTCCTGTCCATCTTTCCCAATCAGCACCGGCAAATTTTCATTCAATCCATTCCTCAAATGTCCTATCTTTCCAAACCTCACATTGCAAATGACGAGCCAGCGAACTCGAAATGCTCCAGCACTCTCCCAGTTAATCGAATTTTGCCAGGAAGGGACTTTAATTGCGCCGGGGAGGGTTTCCATTCTCGCCTATTGGTTTATCATGATGAGTTTGGGAAATTGGGGAAGAAAAATTGGAGAGGGAATACACACATAACCTTGAAAAGCTCGACTTTTGTTGATTGAGAAGATCAGAATAACATTTTTGCAGGTCTCGAAGGCTTCCTTGAAGATTGGTCCATTTTGTGCTTGGGTGGTCCATATACCCTTTTGGATATTAGCTGAATCGGTCTTATTTGCTTGATTCTAATCCACTTACATCTTCTATACATTTAATAACATTTTCATCGTTGAAGGATTTTACTATGAAATATCTTGTATCTGATAGCGTCAGCATGTGGATTTCTCAACTCTCCTCAGAATATTCTATAGCTATTGGCAGACACTCGTCACTCAACTTCACAGCAAACAAGACAGTGATTCTGATAGAATACTTTTTTAACTAATTGCATGGGTATCAAGAAAGCGCGACTAAAGCAATCTCTATTGACTTGAAATAAGATAAATAGAAGCGTCGGACAAGATGGGTGATTTTCACTGACCACCTTTACCGCCTCGATCAAAACCTCTTGGATCTTTATAAGGTTTGCCAAGAGCATTTCGCGATCCAAATCCAGCTTCGCTCCTTGACTCGTGTGACTCCCAATTACCACGACCTCTTCCCCGACCTCCTCGACCTCGATAATTTGGATCAAAGGCCTTTCCTCTGTAACTTCCATGTACTTCAAAAGATCTTTCGCGTGCAGTCCGTGCAGGGGGTCTGCTCTCAAAGGTCCTTAGACCGGGGGACACTTCACGATCATTACTGCGGCTTCGACCACGGTTACGAGATTCTTCGAAATAAGAACGACCTCCACGGTCACCATTGGCGCGGCGAGAAGAATCATAGTCTACTGAACTTTGTCGACGGCGATTTTCATGTTCTCGATCCTCAAGGCGTGCTACTTTTCCATAGTTTGCCTCCCCTTGAGAATCTTGGACTTCACTGTAGTTGCGCTTGTTAGATGTTAAACGATCATGAAGATCTGTAGACTCCGCTACCGCTGGGGTATTCTGAGGTTGTATTAAGCTGTTCATCAAGTTTCCTACGTTAAAATTTACAAGACTTTGACCATCTTGTATACCTGCTAAGAGCTTGGCTTTTTGTTCTTCCAATTCCTTCAGAGCTCGTGCAGTTTTCAAGAACTTGTTTCTGTGTACTATATCATGATACTGAGTCATGTCCAGCCATTCCTTCAAATCTGTGTCATGGGGTAAAACTTGTGCCAGTGTTGGTGGTTTAGACTCTCGTGAAGATTTGATTTCTTCCTTCGCAGCCTCGGGACGGCGATAATCATCATTATTATCACGAGAAAATCTGCGTGGGTGATGTTTTTTGTCAGTGTCTTGATGCGACTTTTTTTCATATCTATGATCGGAGGCTGGATTTCTCTCTGGTCGATAATCGCCGTCTTCTCTGCGTTCATCTCGAAAACGAGGAGGTTCAGGTTTTGATGGCTGTGCTTGTGCTGGTGCTGGACGTCGAGTCAAAGGGCCAGGTTCTTCAGCCTTTACACGAACATAAGCTGGTCGAGTTGTGCGCTCGTCTTCCGGTTTAAGAGACTTATCATTAACGTTAGCCGATTTTATATTGAACTGATTTCCTTTTGGCTCCGTGGGCGGAAGCTTCTTAGGGCTAGGCTCATCTAGTATCTCTCCTTCCGACATCGACCCATTTCTAACATTCCTGACTTCGCTCTCAGCTAGAAAACCATTACCGGCTCGATCACTGGTAGATTTCTTGATTTTTGTAGGAGTTCCTGACATTTGGGGGTTCGCAGATAGAATGTTTGTATTGATAGGAGGTGTTTTTTTGGCAGTACCATTTCCTGCCACAGGGTTCATTTTTGGTCCTGCTCTTGGTTTTGTTTCAGAATAATCAGAAATGAGATCATTTATCTCTTTTTCCCGGCGTAAGTGTTCGTCGAGATTTACCCCTTGAGCAGGACTCTTAGGAGATGGTTGTAATGAGCTCGACGATTCTATCGCAGTTATTTGTTTTGCTGGTGCAAGAACTGGTGGGGTAGCTGAGTTGGCTCGGCCTTCTTTTCCCTTCATCAATCTTGCTCTTAATTCGGCAGTTTTGGCAGCAAGCTGTTCTTTCGTCGGCGTAGGAGTAGGAGGAGCCACACTATTATTAGTTGAATTCAATTGAGGGGAGTACTGGGCAGGTAGGTAGAGGTTAGCTGTATGTGCTTGCTCCCTAAAGTCCATAGTAAAAGTTAGGTCGTCTGTCCCAAGCACTTACTGGTGGTCGATTGGGAGATATGAATTGATTTTGTGCGAAAGCTGCCTGGTTGTACATAGGAATCTCTGGAGAGAAGCCATTGTAACCATCAATATTCATTTCGTCATATTGTAATATGTTTGGTTGTTGAAAGAAATTGGGGCCTGGTCCACCGCCAGAGAAAGGAGATTGTAGTGGTGTAGTTCCAGATAGATCATCTTGATTGAAATTGTTTGGTTGATATTGTCCATTACTTGGAAAGCCGTTATTTGTTGGCCACATGGCTGTAACAAGAATTTGTCAAGTTGACTGAGTCTTTTGTTGAGTCCAAGGTTCGACGACTTGTTCCAAATTGGATATTTTATTTTTTAAAAGTAATCCGCACAACGATATTTTTTCGCACACTATGTCGAAAGACTTGTAAGAGTGAATATTCACAATGAATAAATGAATGAGTGATTGCCTGAATAACTGTGTTGTGGTACAATAGAATTAGATATTTGAAGTACTTGAGCTTTGCAAAATCATATTATGACGAGGTAGCTTGAAGGGCTTCTGCTTCTTGTTCTTCTTATTCCTTGAACTTTGGTGTATGTGAAAGGCCTTTTTCGGAAATCTTCTATAAATTATAAGAGAAAGATCTGCTGAAAGACCAGTAAAAAGAAAAGAGTGGAAGAAGAAATGTAATAGTAGTAGTAGTAAGTTGTATTAAATAAATGGCAGATGTGAATGAACACTTTTCGAGATATGCAGCTAGGTCCTAAACCGAGCTAGTAGGATGCCTTAGGCGGTCAACGACATGAAGATAAACCTTGTAAAAATATATCTGATGATTAATGCAGCTTTCCGATTGATTGGGATGGATAATTCTACTTTTATTCAGATGATGTGATGAATGCGACTTTCTCATTGGGGAGTCAATTATGAAATGGATGCAGTTTTCCGATTGGATGCTATTAAATGAGGTATATCGTCTTTCCATTTCTTTCGTACCTGGGTATTGGACGGGATGAGAACGCTCATAAGTAGCCTATCAGAGTTAATTCTCACTTGCTCTATCATTTTCCTCATTCGATATGTTCTGATACAGTACCAACATCATCCCAACATCATCCCAACATTTGCAAATCCCCAGCTGTTGTTTCCATGTCATGCAGGAGGTAAGAATGATGAGAACAAACCACTCTGGATGCCGGCATATATTATCATGAACCTTCCAACCATTGTTGCTGTTGGACCCTTTCCTCTCCCAACCAAAGCTGCCATATACCATAAATATACAGGAGAAGATGATGAGATCCTTGTAATAATCTGAACATGACCGCTTATTAACGTGTATACTGTGAGAATCAACTGTGTGAGCGCTAGATTCCGGATGATCTGGACTTTATCGACTTGTCGGATCCCGTTAACTGGCGGGTTGACATCTTTCTGCGGGGTGGCTGGGGTTTGTTGGAACTGAGAGTCCCGCAATACCCCATTGCCAGATACTCCCAAGATTACGAGCATAGGCATTGCAAGTAAAAATAGAGGTATATTTGAGATTGTCCAATATCTGAACGGTCCGTTATTCCTAGTGAATGTTAGATACGGTCCACTTTCCATCAAATCCATCGACATACCAATAAAAAGCCTGCACGAAAGCATATATACTTGGCAGGGTATTCGAACACCATACTCTTGGATTCACGATGTCCGTTGCCCCACAGTACTCTTGATATGCGATATACTGCGGTGTGAGAAAACCAATCCCAACACACATACCTCCCA